TTTATTTAAGCCTGGATATCTCATCTCACCTAGTTGGGATTTTACTCACATGGCATGGGAGATTTGACCTGCTTCATTTCCGACCTGGGCCCCTTAAACCTCTCCTTAGTCAATCTGGTCTCCCCCAATGGAGGGATGGGAGTGGGGGTTATCATAGTGATGCAAAACCTAGTGTAGACACCCAATTTGCATAGTTAGATGCATCTCAGAACTCTAGAGCTTAAGGGATCCTTTGGCCTCAGCCTACCTGACAGTTATGATTACAGACAAACCTTGGGATGCTCTGCCTTTAATGATTTTTCATTAGAAAATGAAATGCTTTCTCATCTCATCTCTGCCTCTTCTCTTCCTTCAAGTTTCAGCTAAAATCTCACCTGCTGAAAGAAAACCTTCACAGGCCCCTTCATGCTTATGCCTTCCCTCTGGGATAACCTCCCACTTACCCTGTACATATCTTGTTTGTACATAGTTCTCTGCATGTTGTCTCTCTCAATAGAATGTGAACCCTTTGAGGGCAGGTACCCATTCTTGCCTTTTTTTTTTTTTAATCTCCAGTGCTTAGTCCAGTTCCTGGCACTGGGTGCTTAATAAAAGCTGGTTGACTTAATTTGACATAAAAGATTAGAAGCATTTAATGTTTTTCTCATTAGGATTATACCATTCTAATTATTAAGAAAACTATAAATAAATTGTTAAGATGTTAGTTTTTCATTTTCAAGTTCTTTCATCATATTTTCTGGGTTTATTTGTGTTTCTAAAGGTCTCTCCCTTTTGTGAGAAGAAATACAACTAACAACCAAGTTGCCAAAGTATTCTTGAGGTTTCGTCTCTAGTAATTCATCCCAACATATTCGTTCCTGATTTATAGAAGGCCTTTGCATCAGCCTCCTGAGAGATATGTGGGCAACACCATAATAAATTCCATCATCTTTAATTGATTTAAGACCTCTAAGGGAACAGGGCTGGAGATTTATTCACTTCCAAATGACTTCCTTTCATGTCAGAATAGCTCAAGTGCTATTTCTGATCTTACTGGATTACAAGATCACTTGCTTCTGGACATACTAAATCTTCAAGCAGTGAACTCTTAAAGGAAGAGAAGTTGTTGAGTGATGGTGCAGGGTAGGGGTCTGAAAGACTTTGTGAGGAGCAAGGAGCATGCTATCCACCAGGCCTAATGTTTGAAGCTGGGCGTAAGAGAAAGGACATTTAGTACTCAAGAGTATGGCCAGTGAAGCAATGTCTTTTGGATGGAGACAGGTTTCTATAGTTGCAAGAGCCTTGGAAAGATTGGGAGGAAAAGAACAAATTTAAAGAGTTAATGTTTTTAAACAATAGAAGGGAGTTCTAGATGGTACAATGGAAGGAGAAGGTAAATAGGGAGAGGGACACAGCCTGGATAGGGCTGAGGTGGAGGTGGTGGGGTGGAGAGGGAGTAGGGAAAAGTATCAGGTTAATAGAGTTTTTGCTATAGGCAGTCTTTGCCTCCACTGATGAGAACTAGGATGTTGATAGAATATGGGGAGGTGGAGTTGGGGGTAAAGCTCTGAATGTGAGCTAATCTGTGTGGCCAGGAAGTGTGGTGATAAGAGTGGTGGGATGATGAGAGACCTGGCCTTCACTGGTTATAAAGAGATTGATTTATTCTCTTTGCCCTGCCCAGCAAAGACAGCTTGCTCATGAAACCAGCTCATACATTGATTTGATTGTTACCTTTTGGGGAAAAGAGGGCAGGGAGGGCTAGCCTCTGAATCTGGTCCTGGACCAGTCAAAATTCACCTTTTCAAAATTTTCTCATCTGTTCTTTCTTCTGTGTTGTTGACACCTATCTAGTCAAGGTATCGGATAAAGACTTTACTCATTTCGCTATGCCTTTATTCAGCCTGTGCCTCATGCCTGGAAAATCTCTTTCTCTCTTCCCTTGTTGAATTACTACATGGCTTTGAAAGTCAAGCTCAGATGTCACTTCTTTCACTGAAGCCTTTCATGATTCTCCATCAGTAACAACTTTCTTCCTATGATCTCACATAGCCCTTTGTTTTTTATCTGGGTTGGTGTCTTATCCCTTCTAAGTTCCCTGAAGAGACACTATCTTATCTAAATTTAGCGCCCTCACCTCCTATGTTTGGGATGCCTAGGTCCCTTTAAGTCTCAGTTCCAGAGCCACATATTGCAATAAGAAGCCTTTCTTGATTCCCCTAATTTTTCTTCTACTTTCTCACCCTCTCAAAATTATGTTGCATTTACTTTGCATCAATTTAATACTTACTTGTTTGTGTATGAGTGGTTTTCCTCCCAGTAGGATGTAGCTTACTTCAGGGCAGGGTTTGATCCATTTTTGTCTTTGTGCCTCCAGCTCTTAGCACATAATTGGTGCTTAATAAGAGCTTGTTGAAATTGAATTGGATTATATAAATATACCCTTGATTAATTGTAGCCTTCTTCGGGGAGGAGGAAGAAAGGGGGGGAAAAGGATGAAGTAAAAAGTACACTGCAGAGATCAAAAGAAAACTTACTAGGAAGCAAAAAGAAAAGATGGACAGCTCGGAATACAATGTGTATTATTAATTATATAGGCATTCTTGAAATGGAAATTTATTGCTGTATATTTTGAATCCTCTCTTAAGTTCTGCTGTGCATATATGGCAATGCTTTTTTTTTTTCTTATTTTGCATTTACCTTTTAGTGTTTAAGTTTCATAATATGTTTCTTTTAAATTTTCTTATGTATTTAAGTTTTAATATTTAAGTTTAAAATAAATTAATAAAACTAAAAAAAGTAAGCTCATTGGGAAAAAAAAGAAATTAAATTGGATTGAATTGAACTTCGGATTCTGTGCTTGGGAATTGAGCTCTGGGAGGTGAGTTGGCCTCCATATCACCTCCTCCCCCTCTCCACACCATGCTGCTTATATGCCTTGCCCATCCCCATTTCCAGCTCATTTATCTGTTTTTTTTTTCTCAATTAAAATATCATTTTCTTGCAAGTAGGGACTGCTTTGCTTGCTTATATTTATATCCCCAGTCTTAGTACAGTGCCTGGCACATGGTAAGCATTTAACAAATGCCTTATTTGGAGAAGAGTTCATGACCAAACAAGGGATATTGAAAGGCTATTAGAACATAAAAAGGACAGTTTTGGTTACATAAAATTAAAAAGGTTTAGCTCAAACAAAACCAATCGCTAAATTTAGGAGGGAAACAGGGAACTTGGGGAAAAACACCCTTGCAGAAAGTGTTGTTGATGAGGGTCTCACTTCTAATATATATAAGGAGTTGATTCAAATCTATAAGGATAAGTCATTCCCCACCTGATAGTCAAGGGAGATGAATTGGCAATTTTCTAAGGAAGTAATTCAAGCTATCAATAACCATATAAAAATGCTCCCAATTCCTAATAATTAGAGAAATGCACATTAAAACAACTCCGAATTTCCATCTCACATCCATCAGATTAGCAAAATTGACAATAAGAGAAAATGATTAATGTGGGATGGGCTATGGGAAAACAGGCCCATTGATGCACTGCTGGTGGAGCACTGAATTGGTCCCACTATTCTGGAAAGAAATTTGGATCCATGCCCTCAAACATTACTTAACTATATCTACCCTTGGACTCAGATAATACCCTTCTGAGACTACTTCTCATCTGCCGTGTATATATTTCGTACAAAAACAGTCATTTGTAGGTTGATTCCCCATAATACTCATAATAAAGTATATCCAGGAATGGAAAAAAAAATATGAGCTCCTTAAGGGAGGGGATTGTTTTTGTCTTCCTTTGTATGTCCAGTGCTTAGGAAAGTGCCTGGAACATAGTAAATACTTAATATGTGCTTGTCTGCTGACTAAATGACCATCACTACTAGGCCTAACCCCAAAGAGATCAAAGAAAGAGGAAGAGGATCAGTAAGTACAAAAATTGTGTATAACATCTCCCTTGGTGGCAGCAAAGAATCGCAGACTAAGGGGGGCACTTTTCAAATGACAAGTAGCTGAACAAATGTTGGTATACGAATGTAATGGAGTACTAATTTTCCATAAGAAATAACGAATAGTTTCCCTTAAACCTTGGAAGACTTGTATAAATTGATGGCAAAGTGAAAAGAGCAGAACAAGGAAAACAATTTATGCATTTAAATATTTTAAAAATTATTTATTTTTAATTTATGTACTAAAACAAGCAATTCCAAACATAGTATAATAAAAAAAAAACAGGGGAAGACTGGCATGAAATAATGAAGAGTAAAAGCAGAACCAAGAGAACATTATAAACAGTAGCAGCAATATTGTTTTAAGAATGACTTTCAGTGAATAAGTCATTTTGACTATTATGAATTTATGCATTTTTATAGTGTTATTGAAACATTGTAAAAACAAACAACTTAAAGCTTTAAGAACTCTGATCAAGGTAATGATGAACTATGATTCCAGAGTTCTCATAATGATGCATGCTCCCAGCCTGTTGACACACTGACAGAGGGTGCAGAATGAGACAGGAATACCTTGGACATGGCCAAATGCAGGAATTTGTGTTGCTTGGTTTATGTCTATTTGTTACAAGGTGGTACTTCCCCCTACCCCCCATGTGAGGGAGAGAAAATTGATTTTTGTCAACTGAAAAAAGAAAATTTAATTTTAAAATTCACCACCTGTGCTCTCTCTCTCTCTGTCCACCCTTCTCTATTTCTGACTGTTTCTCTCCCCCCCATCCCGTTTCTCTCTCTCTCTCTCTCTCTCTCTCTCTCTCTCTCTCTCTCTCTCTCTCTCTCTCTCTCTCTCTTTTTTCTGTCTCTGTCTTTGTCTCATGCTCATCAAGTGTTTTGGTTGTGTTAGATACATTTGTAGGGGAGTACACGGTGTGTATGGGGGTGGCTGAAGCTCAGTCACAACTCTCCTCCACGCACACCAGCAGCAGCAGCAGCAGCAGCAGCAGCAGCAGCAGCAGCAGCAGCAGCAGCAGCAGCAGCAGCAGCAGCAGCGCCTCATGCTGGGGCGCCCATGGCCAGGACCAAATCTGCTTGGGGGAGAGGAAAGAGGCGGAACCTCCATGCGCGGGTTTCGCTTCCCACCCGGAGAGCTGTCCGGAAGCACCACTGGCGGAGCGAAGCTGCGGCGCACCGCGCGGTGACCGGGCGCGCGGCCGGCATGGAGGGGAGCGGGGCCGTGGCCGCGCAAGGCAGCGGCGGCGTTGCGGGCGGCGTCCACCCAGACCTAGGGGCTCTGGATGGACAGAACAACTGGATGACCAGCCACCCGCAGGTCAGCCTTCCCTCGAGCCCCCACGGCTCCCGGGGGAGGGGGAGGCGGGCCGGGGGGCCGCGGGAGAAGGGGTCCGGGCCTCCAGCTGCTCCACGCACCCCCCCTTCCTCCCGCCCCGCCCCACGCGATGAGGTGCCAAGAGCCCAGGGCTCGAGTCCAAAGACTTGGGTTCGAATTCGCCTCTTCCGCTTCTTTCCGGTGTGTCTTTAGTCACCAAACTTCTCTGGGCCTCAGTTTTCTCCTCCGTAAAATGGGGCAACTCCGACTCTGAACCTTCTGCAAGGAGCCTTTCCCGTCTTCTCCAGCTCTTAGTGCCCTCCTTCCGCTGCTCCATCCAACCTGTCCTGGGCTCCGTCTTGTTTGTACCTAGTTATTGGCATCTCACCCCTCCCTTAGAATGTAAGCTCCCTGAGGGCAGGATTTGGCTTTGCCTTCGGCTGTATTAGTTTAGCACTGTGCATGGCACTTAGTAGGCGCTTAATCCATGCTAGTTGACTTGACCTTTGGAGGCCTGCGATCTCTGATTCTCCGACCCCGGAGGGTCTTCCAGAAAGCCTCCTATAAAATTCGGATTTGCTGCTTTGCCCCTAGCTAGCCCCTGCCTCAGTTTCCCTGCCCTTGTCCAAGCCCCAGCCCACAGCTCTGACCCGCTGCTGGGCTGGGGGGATGATCTGAGCATCCATTTGGGGTCACCAGGGTGAAACAGGGTAACCAGCAGTGCCACAGAATAGAAATTTTTAATGGATTTTTTTGAGGGTGGTTGTATGTATATTTTAATTAAGACAGACAGTCTTTAATTAAGACAGGTTAAGCTGACTCATTGTCAGCCAGGTGGCTCAGTGTACTTGAAATCAGGAAGATCTGAGTTCAAATGTCCAAACGGTTCCGGAATCGCAGCCTGCCTCAGTTTCCTAAATTGTGAAATGGGGATAATAATAGCATACCTACCTTGAGGGGTTGAAGTGAGGGTCAAATGATGAGATAATGTTTGTATTTAATAAATGCTTGTTTCCCCCCCCCCCATTAAGAGTAGTGTAGTGGTGGGGTATTGAACACTAGATCTGGCTTTGCTTCTCTTTTACTACCTCTGTGACCTTGAACAACTTCACCTGTTTCCTCATCTGTAAAATTAGGAAATTGTTCTAGAATCAGAAATCATGATTCTGAACCTGGGGTCCATGAACTTGAGTGGGGGGAAAATTACATCTTTATTTTCAATAACCTCCAACCTAAATTTAGCATACTTTTTAGTTATTTTATAAATATATTTTATAACAGAGAAAGGGGTCATCAGTCCTCAATATCAACAAAGTTAAAAAGAAGCCTCATGATATTATTAAAAAAAAAAGTTAAAAAGAAAGATGATCCTTACAACTTTAAATCTTATAAATGTCTAAATATTTTTTAACCTGTAGTAGAACTGAAAAAAAAAACCCTCCATGCCACCATGTCTAGTAAATTAGAAAACCAGTACTAAACAGGATATAATCAAATGCTAAGTCCTTTAGCACTGATAAAAAGTGGTCTTTAGAAGTAATGCTAGTGTTGATATTTGGCCCTGGAGACTTGTTTTACAATAACAGACTGTACTTCTTACCTCCTTTCATGTCATGGACCCCTTTGTAGTCTGGTGAAGTATGCGGACCCCCTTCTCAGAATCATGTTTTTAAATATTTAGATAACTGAATAATTTAAATCATTGGATAGTAAATCCCATATCCATCATGCTATGATTCTCAACAATTCTGGGAGGTGGATAGGGTTGGCATTGTCTTTTCAGATGGGAATGATTTAGATGATGTTAACAAGTTTGAAAAGTTTCCTGTTGGACTAATCAGAGGGTACAAAAATCACATTCTTTTAAAGAAGCCTTTTCTGTAAAGAGTTAGGGAAAGAAAAAGCCAATTGCCTGATATTTACTTGTCAGCCATGCAAGGACAGGCATGAGTACTTTACTGATGAGCATCCTGTAACTTAAGTGCTCCATAGCCCAGAACAGTGTAGATCTATAGTAAATGCACTATAAATAATCTTTGTATGAATGAATGGAGAATAGTACAAACAGTCCCAGGAACTATTCTGTTGTTTCAGAAAAAATGAGGACATCCTCTAAACATTATCTAAAAGTTCTTCGGGGTCATGATGTCCTGTCTATGGGTGTTTTATTAGGTAAGCAGTTTACTAGTTTCCCATTCCCTCAACCTAAAAACAATCCAGATTTGGTGGTATTAAGACATATTTTCACATTTCCAGATGCTTTCCCTTTGGTAAGACAGGTGATTTCTGGGCTGCTCAAATAAATTTTGTGCTTAATAGAGATCTTCTGGTCACGGATTATCAAGTGGCAAAGACCATGAGTTCCTCAGGATTGGAGCTGTCTAATATTTTGCCGCGTGCACATAGTAGGCAGGCAATGAATATTTGTTGAATGAATGAAGAAAAATATTATCTCTGAACTATTTTATATTTACTGTGACTTTCAGTTTTTGGAGATGCTGGAGTTAGATGTGGCAGACACGTCTCAAGTTTATACAGCATTCTTAGTTTACCTGGACCTTCTGGAAGGTAAGTTTTGTTTTCAGTTTTTGGGGTTTTTTTGGCAGTGATAGAGTGGGCAGGGAGATGCAATCTTGGGATTTTGACAAGGAATCAGTCGTTAATATGGTTATTAATTTATTTATTAATTTAGTAGGGATAGTTGATACTGAATCTTTCTTACTTATCTTAGTAAATATTAGTGAGGTAGGAAGGGAAGAAGGAAGTAGCAAATAATGTCTATAGCTTTTAGATCTTTTTAGTTCAGAGAAAGTTCGTCATTTTGAGCTTTTATTTGGAGTAATGATTGTTTTTTAATGGTTTTCCTTCAGGTAGAAACTGGCACGAGGTAAAGAGTGTGGGATTACCAGAACTCCAGCTCCTCTGCCTCCATGGTCGTGAGAAGGAAGGAGAAAGATTACAGATTGTGGTGCCAACATCTGTTCATGCATCGTTCAGTCATGAGAGGTGAGCAGGTGACTCAGAGTTGCCTTACCAGTCCAGCCTGGTCACTCAAATAAAATGCAGGAAAACTTTCAGCTGAAAGTTAGTACTTTTAATTTTAACAGGTTTGAAATTCATATTGTGAATTTCATGCATAAGGAGCTTAAGATGCATTCTATTGTACCTTTATTCCTCTTATTTCTAACCATGAAATATAACTGTTCAGATAATTCTGTATTAACTAACATATAATAATTGCATATTACTTAAATATTTACTAATTGCCTATGTGTCCCACTTTATACATTGAGGGGAATAAAAAAAACATAAGCAAAATGCCATCATGAGTGATTAAAGCTTTCACTTTATTAAGGTGACAAACATATACAGGTACAGCCAATAATATTATGAGATCAGATGTCCGAGTGAGTAATACAGGCTATAAATGAGAGGATAGAGAGGATAATTCAGGGTGGGCCAAAGAGTCATACAATTGGAAGAGACTTCAGATCCCTCTGAGACCAATTCAGACTGGAACAAAAATCTCCTTTACAGCATATGTAGCTAGTGGCTGTTAGCATCCACCTGGAGACCTCCGGTGACTGTTTACCTGCCACTTTCAGAGGGAAACTGTCTTACTTTTGCACAGACCTCTCAGGGTTTGGAATTTTTTCTTTGAGTTCAAATCTACCTCCGGGCAACTTTCACCTACTGCTTGTAGTCCTGCTCTCTGGGGCCAGAGCAAAACAAGACTGTTTTCCATACATTAGCTTCTTAAATATCTGAAGACCATTATCCTGTTCTCCCTAAGTCTTCTCTCCTCTAGGCTAAAAACCTCTGATCTTTACAGAAGGTAGAGTCTTACGTCCTTTCACCACTTTGGTTTCCCTCCCTCCCCTGTGTGTATCCAGTTTGCTAGTGTTCTTCCTGAAATTCAGTGCCTGGACCTCAGTGCAGTGCCTGACACAGAATCTGACCACTCTCCCCTCCCTTGTTCTGGTTACCAGACTTCTTTAGTGTGGTCTAAGATTGTAGCTGATCATGTTGGCTCACATTGAGTCTGTCTGTTGGAAAAGGTTTTAGGTTAGCTTGGACACCAAAGCCCTTTTGTTGCCTAGTTTCATCATCAGCAAATTGAAGGGATTAGAGTATGACTTCTCAGATTCCTTCTAGCTCTTAAGATTTTATTTCTTTTCTACATAATATATAGGTAGCCATGTCAAGGAATGTTTGTGCCAAATTACTTAGTTCCTTGTTCTCCTTGTGAAAAGGACTGTTTAGTCTGGTTTGTTGCTCATGTCTTAAATTTCTTTGTGTGCTTGAGTATCATGAATTTTGGACGTGTATTATGATTTCATTGCTATGGGGAATTCCTGATGAGGAAACTCCCTCAGTACCAATCCAGGTCAGTACCTGCTCTGCAGCTCAGCAATATAGTGTTGTCTAGGGCTCCAAGACGTTGTTACAATGACTCACAGTCAGAACATGGCAGAGTCAAGTGTTGAGCTCAGGGCTTCTTACCTCGGGCTGGTCTTTCATCCCCTGGGCTGCCCCTGGTCACAGATGAGTTGACTTAGAATGGGAGCCAACCTGCTATATTATGGATAATCACCATTCAAGCTCTGTTCCCTGTTGTCATAAGAGCCATAGAGCCATATTCTAAAACTTTTAGGCTGTTGCTTTTCTGAAATCATCTCCTACCTCCTGAGAGACTTCAGATATTGTCACTTAAAATGCCTCCTTCATAGCTCCCAGGCCCTGTTTCAGTGACAGTCCTGAGCTAGCTTTTGTTTTTTTCTACAACAGGCCCATGTTTTTAGCATTATTAAACTTAAATTTCATCCTAAGGAATGAATAATTAATAATAATAGACACTTATATTTCACTTTAAAGTTTGCAAAGTCATTTGCATACATTTTCTATTTCAGTCTCGAAACAACCAAGTGAGATAGGTTCAAGACAACAAAGTGATCACGAGTCTAGTTTCTGTTAATTCCCATCATTTCTTAAGGTGGATTTCCTGTCAGAATTTGTGTCTAGGGCCTGTGTATTTGGGATTATTCCTTCTTTAGCTCTTTTAGGCTGCCTTTTTATAGACTCTTAGGAAGCTAACTTGGAAAGCAGTTCTTATGCTGTTACAACAGATAATTGCTCTAATCCCATTATAGTCTTCATATGTTGTTTTCATAGAATAGTCTTAAAAATTTATTAGAGGGGCAGATAGGTTGCACAGTGGATAGAGCACTGGCCCTGAAGTTAGAAGGAACTGAGTTCAATCTGGCCTCAGAACAAACACTTCACTAGCTGTGTGATCTTGGGCAAGTCACTTAACCCCAATTGCCTTAAAAAAAAATTTTATTAGAAGGAAGAACAATGTAGATGTAACTACAATGTGCCTATCATGCCACTAGGATTTGAATTTTACATTCAGCTGACCCTATACTTTAAAAAAAAAAAGCATTAGTCCAGACTGCATTTCTTTTCAGCTTCAAAATGATAGTACAGGCAAGATGAGCTCTGTGGTCCTTTCTATTCTTGAAAGTCTGTGGTTTTTTAAGAAGATTCCTCTCCTGCCTAGATATTTAATGGGAGTGACTTTTTACAAAGTGTGAAACATGCTTCAGCACTTTTATACCTTCATTAATATCTTCATTTGTAACATGATGTATTGCATATCAACCCAGAGTTTGCAGTTTTTCAAAATAGATTTTATGAATGACTTTGAATTTGAATATGAAATTTCACATTATTATTAAGTATGTAGCAGGTGGTTGCTATTTCTGTAAGACCCATCATTAAAGAAGATCAGCACTGGCACATGTTCCAAAAGATTTTTGAGTAAATTTTACATAAACATGGCCATTTCTGGCCATTTCTGTTGTGATTACAGTGGGTTAAATGCTGAATATTACCTATAAAAAGACAATGTCAGTAATCTGACATTACTATCATTATATTGAAAATAAGATATGCTTGTGCTACCCCTCTCTTCTAAACCTTCTGCAATCTGACTTTTGACCATTCAACTGAAATTTCCTCTCTGAAAGTCGCCAGTGATCTCTTGATCGCCAAATCCAGTGTTTTTTACTCAGTCCTCATACTTCTAGATCTCTGTAGCATTTGCCATTGCTCACCTTCTGGATACTCTCTCCTCTCTGGGTTTTGTGACACTTTTAGCCCCTGCTTCTCCTTTGTGTGTCACTGCTCCTTCTCATTCCTCTTTACAGGTTTATCTATATCATTCCTACAAACTGTGCGTATCCCCATGGCTTTGTTTTGGGCCTTCCTTTCTTTTTGCTTTTTATAGTCTCTCTTGGTGATTACATTGACTCTCTTGGGTTCACTTATCTCTCTGGAGATGATTCACTGACCTACATTTCCAGTCTTAGTCTCTCTCCTGAGCCCCATTTACACATTACCAACTGGCTTTTGGACAGCTTGAAGCGGATATCTCAAAGCCTTCTCCAACTCAACTGTCCAAACCAAAACTCATTATTTTTTCTTCAGAACCTTCTCTTCTGAGCTTCCCTGTTACTTTTGAAGGCACCACCATCTGCTCAGACACCCACGTTCACAACCTTGATGTCATCCTTGATTTCTCAGTCTCATTCACCCTACGTGTCCAAGCCATTACTAAACCTTGTTGTTTCTACTTTCCTAATATCTCTTGTAGATGTCTCCTTTTTTCCTCCTCCATAGCCATAACCCTGGTTCAGTGCCTCATCACCTCCCACCTGGATTGTTGTAACGATAACCTTCAGACTGGTCTCTTGCCTCGTTTCTCCCTGTTCCAATCCATCTTGTGTTTAGCTGCTAAGGTCACTTCTTTAAAGCATACAACTGACCAAGTCACTTTCCCTGATCAATAAGTTCTGGTGGCTCCCTGTTGCCTCTTAGGTTCAGAACTCAGTTTGGCATTTAAGGTTCTTCATAACTGGTTCCATCACTACTTTCTTATACTTAGCTTCTTATACTTCCAGCCACACTGGCCTACTGGCAGTTCTTTGAACAAAGAACTCTATCTCTGCGTGTGTGCACTGTCTATCCCCCAAAGCATTCTGGAATGCTCTGCCCCCTCACCTCTACCTCTTGTTTCTATAACAAGTCTTTCTTAGTTGCACCAGCTGCTAGTGCCTTCCCCTCCCTTCTACTCTGTGTATATAGATCTTGTATCTAGCTAGTTATTTACATGTTTTCTCTCTCATTAGAATGCATTTTCCTTGAAGGCAGGGACAGTTTTTTTTTTCTCTTGTGTCTTCAGTGTTAGCAGAATGCCTGGCACATAGTAGGCAATTGATAAATGCTTCTTGACTGGCTGACTGTAAATATGGGTTCAGAAAATAAATATTCTGTATTGAGTCCTGGATTGGAAGATAATCTGCTAAAAATCAGTCTTAAACAATGAATTTGTGTCTAATTTTTCTGGAATCTTTTGAGATAAAAGGTATGGTTAGAGACATACCACTGTCGAACATTTCTTATTTGAATAGTAATACCTTATGTTTGCTTAGCATTTTATAATTTTCAAAGAACTTTCACACAATTTTATATCATTTAACCTCATGACAATCCCTTTCCCCTAGTCACTGTTAAAGAGATGGTTCTTCTTTTCTTTGCAAAGCTAACCTGTCTATGTTTGCCATTGATTGCATCTTCTCCAGCATATTGAAACCTCCATCATCTACTTTCCCTTTTCACTTTTAAATTTCTTCCTGTGTTTTGGTTCCTTCCTTAATCTCTTAGAAGCAGGTAGGCACACAGTGGGTAGATCACTGGTCCTGGAGTCAAGGTAGATCCCTGGTCCTGGAGTCAAGAAGGCCTGTGTTCAGATCAGATACTTACTAGCTGTGTGACCCTTGGCAAATCACTTCATACTGTCTGCCTGTTTCCTCAACTGCAAAATGGGGATAATGATAGTACCTACCTTCCAGGATTGTTGTGAATATCAAATGAGACAATATTTTTAAAGTGCTTTGTATAGTACATGTAGTAGGTGCTTAATGAATGATTGTTACCTTCCTTCC